GGTCGCAGGGCCTGACCCGCGGTGAGGCGTCTCCTGGCCGCTCCCACGCTGGGGAGGTTCCCAGAGAACCGCCGGAGGGTTTTTTAGCTTTTCCCTTAATTTTGAGGCGAGGCAGGGCCTTAAACTTAAGAATTGCAGTTAGCTGGCAAAACGCGGTATCATTTTGATCGCTATCCAGCTGCTGCGGGCGAGAACTGCTAATTAAGTGGTGTTTTTTATCGTTATTCACTCTCTTTATCTGTAGTGTGTGGATATGGTGACAGCAGCATAAAGGTATTTTCTTCTTCTCGTTTGAAATTCACTTTTTTTGCAGCTGAGCTGCTTTCCCAGCCTCTGAACCTGTCACTCTGCAGGTGCTCTGAGGACATCAGAGAAGGGAAAAAGCTTAAAATCCAGTTGCAAGTCAGGAAGCTGCTGTCAACAGAGTTAACATCTTGCTTGGTTTCCGTTGAAAATGTTTTCTGCCTTAGCGAGGCTTAACTGGATCCTCATCATTTCTACTCAGGCCAAGCAGATGTTCTTTTTCCCTTAGTCAGCGAGGATTTGAAGTGCAACTCTGGTGTGATGTGGGTGAGTTGATGACCAAAGGAAATCTCGACAGCTCAGTTATTCACATTAACTTGTGGAATTAGGGACAGCAGTGATAGTGTTGGGGGTCCTGGCCTTCAAAGTGCACCTCGTTATTGTCAAAGTCCTAAGTTTTAGTGCCTCTACTTTTTATCTTCACTTTTTCAGCCCTTATTTAAGTGTCTGGTGCACAGAATCACAGAGTGGTTTGGGTGGGAAGGGACCTTAAAGCCCCCCCAGTGCCACCCCCTGCCATGGGCAGGGACACCTTCCACCAGACCAGGGTGCTCCAGGCCTCATCCAGCCCGGCCTTGGACACTCCCAGGGATGGGGCATTCACAAGAAGTTGAACCATTCCACTTCCAGTGGCTGTTTGGATCTCAGAAGAACTCGGGTCGGCTGTTGTGCAGGGAGGGTGAAGCGGTTCTCGCCTGTGCTGGTTTACAGCTGTACGTGTTGGCAGATTCACACGGCAGAGCTCACTGGTGTGGGTACGGCCTCTGCTGTCGGGGGAGTTTCTGCTGGGGATTTTTGGTGGTTTGCTTGTTAGTGGCTTCTTTCGCCGCAGGCTGAGTTGTGAGAGTATTCCTTTGCAGGAGTCGTTGTGTGTGTGTGCCGCATACGTGTCAGCAAGGGTGTCACACGGTGGTGTGGTTATGTCGGCTGAAGTTGGGTCTGTTCCACCGGGGTCAGACAGGTCTGGTCACGACTGCTTACCGCGGTAGTGAGATTTGACAGAGTAAGAACCATACAGTGCCTGCTGAAGGCCTGATACGTCATTACAGTTAAACATTTGGCGTCCTGTGGACATTTCACTGCAGATACTATTTTCCCACAGGAGGTAACTGGTAACCAGTGCTAGCACTCCACGTTAAGAGCACTCTTTGTTTCAGGAAGAGCAGGCAACTCTGCCCTCGTGTCACTTTAGCCTGCAGGACTTTGTCTGGTGGTACGAGGTGCTGGAATTAAGTCCATCAGAAGGGAAACATGAAGTTAGTATTAATTATTAGGTGAAGCTGATCATGTGATGTTGAAACTGGGTGAGGCAGTGCGAATTGACACTTCACGATGTCTCTCTAAATGTCGTTAATTGTGTCACCAGGATTGCTCGCCATCTGTCAGCCAGGTAGGAAGGCTATTTTTATGTGGACCAGGGATGTCAGTAAGAACACGAACGAGGTAATTCTCTCCGGGGCAGATTTAAAAAAAAAAAAGGCATTAATTTAGCTGTATTTTGCTTTCACAGATGCGGCCCTTGTTTAAGGATAGCCCCAGCTTTCAACGCTCTGAGTAACAAATATCCCCAGGCAACGTTTTTGGAAGTAGACGTGCATCAGTGCCAGGTTAGTATTCAAAAACACATTTTCAGTTGTAAGAGAGAGCAGATAATGTGGCTAACGGGAAACTTGGAGAAAAACCGTTCAGAGGGTATACCAAGTGTAGTATCCTGTCGCTATCAGCATGTTTGGTGAATGACAAATATCTGTATGGCAAAATCCTCCAGAATGAGGATAAGCACAAAGAAGGGAACAAACACCAGTTCTGTTTAGAGAAGTGTTCTTGCAGTTAGCACTGCGATGTCCTTCCTTGAAGCAGTCGGCTTAGGAGCTGCGTGTACTCTTCAGACAGCGATACCGTTGCATGTAGAAGATAGCGCCCATGTGAATGAAAAAGTGTCTGTCCAAACACATGCTGGCATAACTGTGGAGCAAAATGAAAAATGCAATTAGCTGATCTGATGAGGGGGACTGCATTCCTCTCAGGTACTACTGGGCTGTTTTTAACAGACAGCAGCGTTGCAGATGAGCTATTGATCAACTTAAGGGTCGTTAACAAAAATTAACAATGGTGTGTTGAAAGGAAGTCTTGGATTAGTGCGAATTATAACAGAGATGAATGTAGAGGTGGCAAGTGTTTGCAAGTGACACTAAATTACGGAAGTTCTGGAAAATCCGCTATGGGTGCCTAACAGGTACGAATAGGGGTAGAAATCGAATCGAATTCGCCTTATGCTGCAGCAGGCCGTAATTCCCAAGTGCGTGTGAATGTGGGTTGTGAGGGGGAAGGAATATGGGTGTAAGGAAGGCTTGTGGGACACAGGTGTTAAATGGATCTGCCCTCCACTTCTGAGAGCGAGTAACACAGTTTTTGTGGTGTGCCCACAAGCTTCTGACGATGTGAAGTCCATCCAAACAGTGCCCAGGTCTGTACAGGTTTAGGAGGATCCGAAGAGTTTAAATGCACTTAAAATGGTGTTTAGAATGGAAAAAACAATTAAAAGATTATTTAAACGGTCAAAGCTCTGTATGGAGTAACAAATATTTGTCACTTTATCTCATGTGTGCATTCACATCTGGGCGAAGCAAGCCGATGCTTTTGGCAATAGGGTGAGGTAACACTTGTAACTCATTTCTGCCTTCTAGGGGACAGCTGCTACCAACAACATATCGGCAACACCCACCTTTCTCTTTTTCCGAAACAAAGTGCGAATCGACCAGTATCAAGGAGCAGATGCTGTAGGCTTAGAAGAAAAAATTAAACAGCACCTGGAGAATGATCCTGGAAACAGCGAAGACACAGATATCCCAAAAGGATATGTATGCATCCCTTTAGATAATTGGGTTTTCTTAAGTTTGTGTAACTTGAATGTTAAAAAACTGTTGGTTTCTAAACATGCTCTATGTCAAATAATCCTGCTTTCGGCAAACCTGCAAGTTCCCCACAACTTTGAGAAGACGGCTTGTCTGGGTTTCCCTTTTCAGCAAAAATTAAAGATTTAACATGTACCTATTTAGTGAATACAGTCATAGAAGTGCAAAATGTTTTAAGAAAAATCTCCAGGCATAGCCCTTAGTCTTAAAAATAATGAATTTAATGTTGTATAATGAACTTTTTTCTGCAGCTGCTTATTCTGCTGCTTCCTTCTCAGACATCCCAATCTGTCTTCCCAAAGCGTTTCTGAAAGTGTACAAATGTCCATGGGAAAAGGCATTATTCGACACGGTTGTCTAGTGTGTTGAAAAGCTGCTCTAGATGTTCCTTTCTCTTATTGATGTGGGGGTAGGTTCATTTGGGGTTTTCCTTTTTTTCTTCTTGCTCCCTACCCTTTCTTTAATCTTCTTTGCTTCATCTCTTTAAAAAAAAAAAAAAAAAAACCAGATACTCTGTTGCCAAAGGAATTAACCTTCATAACAGTTCAGCTCCATCTTCCTCTGCAGCAGCTTGCCTGGAAAACAGGATGCCTTTGGGAGGGGGTTGTTAGATAAACAATATCTCATGGTGGACTTTTTTTGCAAACATTAGCAATTAGGCAGAAGTGGGTGGTGCTACAAAGTGTTCTCTTACTGCCTCTAAAAGAATGACAAGAATATGAAAATACACAAACTAAAAAACACATCGCAGGAAT